AATCCTGGCCCTCAGATAACTTCATTTGATGATAAGATCTGATTCATTTAATGTATCTTTTTAATTACAAAATGCAGTTTAAATACAATTATCCCATTTACTGAACTTGAGGTGAATTCACTGTTCCCCCTGGCTAACATTCAGGCCCTGTCTCCATACAAATCTCATTCCAACTCAGATGATTAGGTCTGAACTTTAGGTTAGGTTAGAACTTTTCTCCTATGAACAAAGGTTGAGGGAAATGGGCTTGTTTAGCTTGGAGAAGAGAAGGCTCCAGGGAGACCTCATTGTGGGCTTCCAGTACATGAAGGGAGCATATAAACAGGAGGGGTAATGACTGTTTACAAGGGTGGATAGTGATTGGACAAGAGGGAATGGTTTTAAAACTGAGACAGGGAGGTTTAGGTTAGATACTAGAAGGAAGTTTTTCACACAGAGGGTGGTGATGCACTGGAACAGGTTGCCCAAGGAGGTTGTGGATGCCCCATCCCTGCAGGCATTCAAGGCCAGGCTGGATGTGCCTCTGGGCAGCCTGGTCTGCTGATTAGTGACCCTGCACATAGCAGGGGGGGTTTAAACTCAATGATTATTGTGGTTCTTTTCAACCCAGGCCATTCTATGATTCTGTGATTCTACGAACATTTTTCTTTGGGCTTTTAATCCATAAGCAGTCCTTAAGCAATCCTTACAATGACCGCATGCATGCAAAAACTCATGCTCGTGGCAGATAGATGCCAGCTAGAGGGCCCCTATGAATGATTCCTCTTATATCCAGAGCAGGAATCCACTTCTGTGCTACCTACTGAAGATCCTTTTCTCCAGGGGACAAAATAAGTGCTCCCATATTGTTCAATGACTGCTGTGAGATGAGATGGTGAGTGGTCTAGGTGGTCGAGCTCTATCTGCAGTCTACAAGAGGAGTCTTGAGAGAGAGTCCACATGAGGGTGGATACATCCCACTTTGTGTGTAAAGGAAGAAAACAGCCCAAGAAGTTTAGGCTTCCCAGCAGAAGGAAGATTTTTCTTCTCACTCGAACTTGACACTCAAACTGACTCTTCCGGACACTCAAAGAGAAAACAATTCTTAAGTGCACAAAATCCGAGTGGGTTGAATTGTAAAGAGCAGTTGCACCACCTATTTATAGGCATTGTGTTCTGCCATGCTTGCTTTATTCATTCTCCTTCTGTCCCACTCCTGGTGACAGAAGAGAACACAACTTCGAACCCCAACTGCAATGTAATGTGGGAATGACAGAAAAAGTGTTATCCTATGTAACTGTGAACGTTTGCTGAAATGGCAGTTAAATAGCATTCAAAAGAAATCCCGGTCTGCATCATATCCCAGACATTTAATGGTCTCTGTAGTGATGTCATTAGGCCAATCTTATAAAAATAAGCTTTCATCTTCAGCTACTATGACCCTGAGAAATTCAACAGCACAGCTGGGTTCTGAGAAGACATCAAATCACATAATACTTGGGGATAGTCAGCTTAGTCTTACCTGCATTTAAAAGCAATTTTCTTGTCCTTAAATAATCTACACATGTTAATTAGAAGCTAGTAAAGTAGCTTAAATGCTGTGAAATTAGAATGAATTATTCATGTCATTTCTTGGCTGCAGCAGTTTCAGATAGTGTTTTTGTTTTGGGAAAGAAAAAAAAAAGACTTAAATAATGAGAAGAGAAAGAATATTATTAATTTGCTTTCTGAGGAACAGAAGCCTTTTCTGTTGAATGGGCTTTCAGTACAGAGGAGTACTTCAGATGAAAAAAACATCCAATCCTTTAGCCAGTACATATTGACCAATATTTAACCACTGACAAGCCTCTGACTGCTGTCAGAGATATCTGCAATTCAAAAAGAGCTTTTTGCAGGCTACATCACCTATGTTCTCTACCAAAATGTTTCCTGCAGCAGAAAAAGTAATTTGGGGGTTGCTGATTCAGGGGGGAACACTAGGTTACCCTACTAAGAAAGCTTTCTTTAAGGAGTGGCGCAGATAGGTTCACTTCTCCTTGGGAGTAGAGGCTAACTTTGGTGAACTCTGAACATAAATCAGTACAAATGGCCCATGAGTCACTAATTCTGTCTGTGAAGAGCTGCACAATTAGATCTCTCTATCTCTTCCAACCTGGGTCTGAATAAAGAATATAGATGAAGATGAAAGGCAGAATTTAGAAATACTAATTGTGCAGATTTTGACTTAGAGCAACTAAGACAGACTTAGTAAGTAAGACTTAGAAAGAAAGATAATTAACGGAAACACAATTAAGCTATCCCAACAGGAGCCATCTTCAGCATCTCAGCTGGAACATGCTGTTCTGTTCTCACCAGGTAGAACAGTTCCAGTGTCATCCAAAATCTTCAGCTAAAGAAATCAAACCCTCGTTTATGTGTTTGAAAACAAACGTAAAATCCAACAGGGAAAATGTCACATGGAAGTGAACACAGAGCAGCAGAAATTCAGGAATAAGAATGGAGGAAACAGTAACAGTGCTGCATCTGCACGTGTCTTTATTAGTGCAATTAATGCTTTATGGCACCTAAAGATGATGCAAATTTCTTTACTTGATCACAGGAAAATGTCCCTTAGTTGAAAATCAGAGAAGTCCTTCACCATGCTTGTAGTTGATACATAGAAGTGCTCAGGAGCCTGGGCAGATCATCCTTTATCACCCTCCTGCCACTTGCCCCCAAAGCTTACTTGCAGTGGGAGATTTTAGCCTGGTCATTGGGTTAGCAGTAAAAATGCAAGAGGCAGAAAAGAGATGCCCAGAGATCCAAAACATTTTGTCCAAAGAACAGGGGAATGCAGGAGATGCATAAACAAGCTTCATCTGAGGATATGAGTCTCCTACACAATGAGCAGCCTGGGGCTGTAACAGCCTACAGTCAGCTGTGGTGCCTCTCAATGATCATTGAGCAGCAGTCCTTTCCATTAAAGGGGTGAATTACTTTGCTTTTCTGCAGGACAGAAGTTTATTTTGGGGCCATTACTCAAAAGCTGATGGCATGTGGATAGTTGACAGCAAAGTGTACCCCATAATAATGTGTCCATGTTCCTATTCTCAAAGTCAATGGCAGATACAGAACAGACCCAGTTTCAGCTCCCAGTTCAGTACCCTACTCACTAGACCACAAAATTGTTTTTTATATAGACAGACATATAAAGATACGGATGGATGGCTCAAAGCCTGATTTTATTGCCATATGGACATCTAAAAATTAGCATTTTAAAATGTAGAGGATTTTATCTCCTGCATATTAATAAGTCCAATCTTCTACAATGAGGCAATAATTAAATGGCCTATAAAAGCAGTTAGCATAAGTAGCAGTGAGATCTAACATAGCCTTCCAATGACTACAGAGGCAAGCACGATTTCTTATCATAATTTGCCTCCCCTACTACACAGCCATCTCAAATACTAGAGAACGATTGCTGGATCAGATATCTCACACAATGCTGTCCATTCACCTCAGCCCTGAGTTGCTTTACATCATCTTCTCTTGCAAAATTTCTGCACCCTAAGAGGAAACTCACAGCGTTGTCAGAATCAGTTTCAGATATGACACTTTGTGTGCAGATTGACACCCCCAGTGAATGCACTTAAAATACCTATAACAGACTTTTTTTTCCTCACCCTGCTCAGATTTGTGATTTCCTCTCCTTTTCTGATACTCTCACACACACGACACAGTAACAATGTGCTCTTTCTGAGCTACTGTAGCTCAGTATGCCTTGTGACAGCAAGTAAAAGGGAGAAAAGATGCAAAGCACACACCAGGAGAAGCGAAACATACGTCTCCAACCACACAAAATGCATTGGCTCAAATTCTCGGCAGTGCAGCTCCCACAGATTTCCTGGAACAACAAATATGATCTTTGTGCCTTGCCGGTCTCTGTAGATATCTGATCCATTTGGGGGGATGTAACTCTGGATTTGCCAGTCGTGAAGGCCCTGACTCTGTTTTCTCTCCACTTATTTTATCTGCTGCAGTGAAATGTAATACAGCAGAGAACATACTGACACCACCATATTTTGCAATGACACGAAGACAGATCAATAAACCTGTTGGATATTTGGCAGAAATGACAGTGCAGAAATCACAGCTATCACTCATCTCTGCAGCTGAAGTTCTTTGACATCTGGAACCACTAAGGATGGAGCAACCACAAGAGGAGTAAGTTACAGTAAGTTACAAACACAACTTAAAACTTTGAATTTCTATTTCCCTGGAAATTTTGGTATGTCAGCATTTCCAGTGAAACTGAAAGTCCATTACATTGTACCAAAAAAAGAGATTGCAGGTGAGTCCGCACACACTGACAACATTTTTTTCCTCCAATTAATATGCTCCTTTTCTTCTTCAAAGCCTATTTCATTACAAACTCAAATAGGGGACACTTTGATCTAAAAAGTCAGGTGTTTCAGATCTGTGTTAATTAGCAGCTGTCCTTAAAGATTTCTACAATAAATTTGATGGAAAAATATGTTATAATTTGTCATGCTTGCTGTATGTTTACTATGAGAAAAGCATAAGTGAAGATGATGTCATGTCTAATATGAGAAAAGCATAGATGAAGATGATGTCATATGACACATCATCTATGTATCTATGTGTTGGACATACTGAAACACAAGTTTAGAAACAGGAAAGTGAAAATACAATAAATATAGTCTAAACCAATTGTTGAAGTTATCCAGAAATAAAATACTGCAATACCACGAAGTATTTATTTCCAAAGCATATTACAACCTCAATTTAAAAATAAAATGAATAGAAAATGTAAACAAATTGTATACAATTTTTTTTTTTAACAACTTTTTTTTTCAGTTAGGAGCAAAATACTTTTTAGTAGGGTCTGCTTTCAAGGACCTGCTGACACAAAGGTCTTCTATAATGCAATTGGCCCTTTAAGAGAACTGCCTGCCCTCCAGCTCCACCCTGCAGCCAGTATATAAGTCAGGAAGATGGCCTGAAGTGGTTGATGGGAGTCTGAGCTCCTGCAAGAGATGCTTTGAGATGGTGAGCTGCTTGGACTGTGCTGGCTGCTCAGCTGTATGGAGACAACCACCAAGGCAAAGGTACTGCTGGGGTATCTGGGTGAGCACATGATGGGCAGCTGATCTACTTGGTCTTTTGGAAGCTCTGAAATGCAGTGTATGTCTTAGAAAAGACATGGTGGAGAGTGAGCAGTGGGTGATTGGGAAGTTTGTGACCTGTCTGCTTTTATTTCAGCAAAGTCTGGGCTTTGCTGAAATAGTCACCTTCTGTGTTTCTGTAGCAATTGGTCTTTAAAAGCTCTGGAAGTGCTGCCTGGTATTTTTGGGGTGTTATCTGGTAGCTCTTGGCTGGTTCCTCTCTGCAGGAGAGAAACTGAGGTCTGCCAGCTGTCTGGTGTCAGTTACAAAGCAGATCTGGAAGGCAGGATCCTGGTTTTGCTGGTCTCCAGGACTGACTAGGGAGTTGTGGTCCTTTCTTTTCAAGCTGTGTAAGAAGTAAGCTGTAGCATGTTACTTAACATACTAAAAATGTGCTTTAAATGCCTTGCACTAATTCTGGCAGTTGTCCTCAGTATTTTCTTGTTTTAAGATGCCTAAAATATGAATAATCAGGACAGAAGGAGAAGGTCAAGGGATCAGGCATTACATATCCAGGAGAAGCAGGAAGGAATAGCATTTGGGAAACAGAATTATTTTCCTCGAATGAACTCTTGACATGGATGAGAATTAACTTTGCCAAACCCAGATGGTGCTGCAAGGAACAGGGAAGTTAATTCTTCCTATTGCTGAAGCGCAGTATAACCTATTTGTCCTTTATCTGTTCTCATTATGTGGTGATGAGATCAAAGCTGACATCTGGCTGCAGTTTTGCTGAAACCGGGCAAGTGATATTCTGCTGCATTCATGTAGAGAAAATATATATAGAGAGAGCAAAGCTACTGGTGCTGCCTCACAAAAGCTTTGGTGTTTGGAAGGTAGCTTACATTCTGTAGTAACTGCAGCTGCCTGTGATACTGTATTATCCTAAAAGCTAATGGATTAAACAAGATTATGTTCTGAAACGCATTGATCATCTTAGCCTTATTGGTATATTAAAATATGGGCCAATTTTTGTGCTGGTCTGATATTTACATCTGTGCAAAAAGATGACAAAGTTGTACTTGTGTAGCACAGTCCCTGTCATGCTCTGGTTGCAGAGGAGAGAGCTCCTCTATTTCCAGCTCATTCTCATTCCCTGGTGCGTGCTGTTGTGACGCACTCATTTAATTCTTGAGGGCTGCAGTTCAGTGTCAGTGTGTTGATCTTGATAGATTGTACACAGCCTGTTTAGCTGTGCTAAACACTTCAGATATCTGTAATAGAAAAGGTAGAGAAACGGGTCTGGAGTGCACCAGAAACAAATTTTAAACTGCTCTCCTTGTTGAAGATTATTCCTGGCCGCATCCTCTAGGTGAAGCTGAAGGGTCCTATGCTGCAGCAGAGCCAAGTACTGGGGTGGAAGTGCTGGCAAAGGTGGGCTGTGCACAGTCAGACCTCATCCAGCCTCCAGGCTGCATCCTGGGTTCTGAATGCCTGACTGCAGGGTGATAGTGTCTCCTAAGAAGGGTAGTAAGCAGCATCGTTCAACTAATAGAGTACTCTGTAACTGCTTCTGGAATGTGATGCGTCCTTAGGAGGAGAGCACTTACAGCTTTGAAATTTTCCTCTTTTTTGACAGTATCCCGATTATTTCAACAACAACAAGAACATTATATGTTCTTGTGTCTGTATTTTCTGCTGTTAGTTGTAGCAAGGGCCTTGGCCTTTAGCAGTCTTTCTAGCTGCTAAGTAAGAGCTGTAGCAGTAGGTACTCAAGCACTCTGCAGGTTTGAGTACTCTGTTTTGAATAGGGCTGCTGTGGGTATACCTGAGCGTCCAGCTGGTGAGCACTGTGCCATGTGAGGCAGTGTGCCTTGGCCAACAGACTTCTGTCAGTGCCTGTGGAGCTCCTCAGCCATTTCTAGTCTTGAAACCATAATAAAAACCATAATAAATGACAGCAAATATCACCCTTTTTTTTCCCCTTGCCACTAACTTTTTAAGGCTAGTCTATGCTTTATAAAATCAGATACATGTTCTCACTCCACTTGCACACTGGTTTGTAAGCTGCTTCTGGAAAAGACTCCTGTGCCTGGCATGGGAAAAAGAATAAAAGGGGAATTTCAGTTTTTCTTCAGGCATATTACATTTCTCCAGGCTCCTTTCATATTGCCCAGAGTGGTTATATGGAAAGGATATCTTGGCCCTCCTTTGTCACTTAAGATGGTTGTAAAGTACTGTATTGCTACAAAAGACAAGTTTAATGTTCTCAACTTCTAATCAAATATCATTTATGTTAGATAAAAGTGGTACTGAATAGCAAGCTTCAGATGTGCAGATATTAAACATCCTGAGTATGCAAATAGGGTCTTAAATGATCATTTAAAAAATGGTTAAATGGCTCTTCCTTATTACACTGAAGTAATTCATAGGTCTGAAGGTGATACTGAATGCACTAAAATAGTGAGAGCATCTAAATACCTCATAATATAGGACTAAATTACTTATCTCACAGAAGGTAATTCCTGGAGGCAGATGGGACTACTAAAAATTCATTCCACTGCTCTTCTGCTTTGTGAAAGGGGCTGCAATGGTGACTGTACAATGCAAAGCTGGTGAATATGCTTTATCTTCAGGGACAAATTAAATTAGTGGGTGTATAGATGGCACATAGTGGGCCAAATTCCTTCTTAATAGATCCCACTGAAGCACATTCTTTGTTGTGCTTCCCTGACAACAGCAAGTAGCAGTATGAGAAGCAATCTATCACAGCCATACTTCATAGGGAGATTTAAGGTATCTTATTAGATAAGCACATTATCGTGAACACATCATGTAAACTACAGCATACATGTGGGGTTTATACCACTTCCGAGGACAGAATATCCCTAAGTATGACAGTTGGATGCTGTGAGGTTATTTCTCTGCCTTTCCCTCATTAGACCTGAATTCACAGCTTCAGTCTGTAGTCAAAATTGCTGTTCTCTGAAGGATTTCAAACATTATGTGAAATAAGACTTAGCCTAACTGAGGTTTGCCAGCTTCCCCAAAGTATCTGCACATGATACCAAACAAATCTCCACTGTTAGACAGCCTCAAGCAGAATATAACAATTTCTGAAATATCCATCTTTCAAATGAGACTGGATCTCAGAGCCAAGCTCTAGATATTTCTGATGTTTAGAAGAACATGAAGCTGGAGTCATACTTGGGTTTAAAGATCTCCCTCTAATACTGACATGAAATTATCTTGGGAGCAACACAGAGGGGTCTAAGGAATTTAGAAAGGTCTTTGTTCCTCAGCACTCAGACACATTGAAAGCCTTTCTGCCTCTCTTCCTTCTATTTGCTGGGCTTTCATAAGATCTTATGATCCATTTCAAAGAGAAAGCATTCCTTCAACCCTTAAACTGTTTGAAGAAATAAAAGCAAATAGTTTAAAAGTTCTGTTTACTCAGTTTTCCACGTTAGGAAAAAAAGATCCATCATGTTTGGCTCAGTTGTCAGTGGAGGACGTCAGGGATTTGCTTTGTGCATGGATTGACTCCTTTGTAGTGGTGAATGCAGATGTACTGTGGGTCAGAGGCTGGTGTCAGAGTGAATTCTCATTCTCATATTGATGCTATGCATGAAGGCATAAGTATTCTGGTGTTGGTAGGCTTCTGGTAGTAGCATTAAGAGGGGTATTTAGGGCTGGAGCTGCATCAGACAAATGTAATTAGACTATCATGGAATCACAGAACGGCTTAGGTTGGAGGGGAACCTTGAAGATCGAATTCCAACTGCTTTGCTATGGGAAAGGCTGCCTCCCACCAGATCAGGCTGCCCAGGATCCCATAAAACCTGGCCTTGAGTGCCTCCAGAGATGGGGCCCCAAAACCTCCCTGGGCAGCCTGTTCCAGTGCCTCACCACCCTCTAAGTAAATAGCTTTTTCCCCACACCTAACCTAAATTACCCCTAGTCTAGTCTAAAGCCAATCCCCCTTGTCCTACCTCTATGAGATAGTGTAAAAAGTTGGTATTCCTTGTGCTTATAAGCTCTCTTCAAAGTACTGGAAGGCCACACGTTTCTGTACAGAACAGCTTTCTGAGAAAATCTATGAGCTCCTCTGTACTGCCTCTGAGATTAAGTGTTGTCTATCCTAGGCAATTTCTGTAAGTATTTTATTTGCACTGCCAATTAGTTTGGAACCACAATGCTGCTTTATTAATTATGAATGAGCACCCTACCTCCTCAAACCATGTTTGGGTCTGGTTTAAATCATGTGTTTCCTTTCAGCATTGACTCTGGTGCTTCTTTGGTCTCTCATCTGGTTAAGCGAGATCAGAAACAAGCCCTCAAAACCCAATTTCTGAATATAAATTGAAGAACTGTTTGCTGCTTTTTACTTGTATTCAGGTTCAGTCAAAACAACCTAGTAACTTTCAGATGCTTTAGGATGTGCCTTGGGATCAAAATTCAAATTACATGGGTATTTTCGGATAGCTACTTTGCATTGTTCAGTGGTAAGAAAATATTGGAGAAGAGATTCTTGCTGCTTTTCCTCCAGCCATTCTATTGCAGAGAAGAAAATTTTCCATTAGGCATATAGGATACACATAATTATTTAAGAACAAAGAGTAAATAAAAATAATAACCAAAAATAAACTGTAAGAACATGCCACGTTGTTATTTGTCCTTTAATGTTTTCAAAGCATTTGCACTTCAAAACACACTAATCTGTCCACTTTGATTTATTTTTATTGAAATACAGATCAAACTCGAAGCCCAAGGGAAGGGAGTTGTTTTTTGCTTTTTTTTTTTTTTTTTTTTTTTTTTTTTAGCCTGTGGCAGAGAAACGATTTTAATCTTTTGGGTGCCAAGGACAAAAAATGTATTAAAGAATGGAATTAGAAGGCAGAGAGATGAAGATGACAAAATAGCAAAGAACAAGCACAGCTTTGCAGAGAGAAGCCATGCCTTAAAAAAATATTCATTTCTGAAAAATTGGTAAGCATGTACAA